TGAGCTCAACCGGGAAGAGACATTCCTGCATCAAGTTGACTAATCGTGCGCTCCAGACGAACACTTTCCCAGTGAGAGGCTGGCACCAGGTGAAGGCTGACTTCGGGCCTGCTTGTGATCCTGGGAAAAAAGAAAGAGCAGTACACATCAGTCACATATCTCATTTGAACAATGATGTCCTTAATTACACAAGTATCGTGTGCGCTGGTACATGAAGTTACCGCTCCCTGCGATCCTATTGGCTCAAATGCACAGCAGTAGATAGACCTGCTGCCTCAGCTTAGTTCAAGAAAGGGGTAGATATATAGTGCCTCCTTACCTCGGTAAGGGATAGATATAACAAACCTCTCCGGTCATTGGGCTGAGGGTATTACCTACAGGCTTGTTTCGTCATACTACAGATTACACCCTGATCATTCGTGCGCTGGGACCTTACTCTACGATATTGCCCCTTGTTGCGTAATCTCCTCTTACCCGACTCCTCATTCTCCTTTCCCTTTGGCTTCTGGTTTTTCTGGCCAAAGACGTGCCAGGGCTACCAGCGCCTCTCTCCACCCCCCCTCTGTTTGATTTGCTCTCTCTTCTCCTCTTTCGTTCTGTGGCTCGTCCCTGTGCTCTGCTCCCTCCTTTTCCCTTTCTGATTTCCTCTTTTCTCTCGTGCCTGGATTTTCTGACTGAAGACTGTCAGGGCTTCCAGCTTTTCTTTTCCCGCTCCTTCCCCCCCTGATTGCACTTAACTCCATCACTGCCTTGGGCGCCGCTTCATTTGTGCCGTCTTGGTTGATTTCTTGTTTTGGGTGTTTTTGGTTCCTCTTGTTTCCTGTTAAGGTGCTTGAACTGCCTGGCCAAAGACGTGTCAGGTTTTTCAACACTCTCCCCCCCTTTTTTGTGTTGTGTTTTGGGTTTTTTCTGGTCGCTTTCTGTTTCGTTGGTCTTGGTTTGGGGGTTCCTTCTTTTCCTTGACTTTGTTTTTCGGTACTGACAGGAGTGCTTGAGTCTTCTGACCAGAGACGTGTCAGGATTCTCAACACCTACCCTCCTCTCCCCCTTTATAACCTTTACACCCAAATCAGCTACACAGGAACTGAACAGTGAGATGTCTCTGCTTTCCAGGGAACAAGTTGTGAAGTCCTGGTACGCAAAGAACCCTACAATCAGCTTCTTTGATCTGCTTTACGCACTTGAACAGCACAAGAGCATTTCGACTGAGTACGGGCTGAATGTATCTATTGAACAGCACTGGCGATTTGGAGACCCCCATAAGAAGACAGCTGAACCTGATCGACATGACTACGAAATTGCAATGGTAAACGGGAGTGAAACTCCACCTGGACCTGACTGGCACAAGTTGTACCGATGGTTGGTTAGTCAAAGCTCTGCTTTCTTGCCTTACCACACCGTGTATTTGGTGACGGACAATCGTGATTTGCAATCGGACAAGGTCAAGTCTGTGCATGGACTCAGCCATTGGCCAATGGTCGCTGCTTGGTGGAAAGAACGGTTACGCTATGTCGGCCCATATGGAGAACTCACCACAGTTGTCTTTGTTCACATCTCAGCTGACACTGGTCTTCATAAGGTACACCCAACATGGGCAGGGACGTACATCCTTGATGCTTGTGTGTTCCTCTTTCCGACCATCAGTTTTGCACTGATTGACAGCGATTGTGTGCCAGTGACCCTCTTTGAGATACGAGAACTTTGGCTAGCGAGCACTGACCCAACCCGCCCAGCTACATCAAGCAAAGTTGCAAAGAGCAAACTGTCAAGCCCCATTGCGTCATCGCACAAACGTGCGCGCTCTGTTGACACGGGAAGGGACATGCAGCAGCCTGGTCCACCATCGAAGCTATCTCGATCGCATAGTGCGGACAATCTTGCTGTCCGAAAAGCTGATCCACTACGAGCCCCTCCCCTCACCTATGGTGCCAATTTGGCCGACGAAGTTGACTATGGTGATTCGCCAGACCCGAGCCCCCGCATGTCTCGTCGGGCGTCGTCCAGCAGCGATGACTCTTCCCCGGCTGGGTCAACCAAACCTACCCGGAAGGACAAAGCAGACGTGGATGAAACTGCCAGTGCGTGCAGGCCCAAAGGAGTCATCCTTGTGAGAGGCATTCACTGAAATCAATGCGGGTCTGGTCATTGTATTAGCTTCGGGTCATGAGAGCCCTGTACCTGTCACTGCCTTGGAGGACTCGGACACGGATCCTGATGAAATAGCCCATGTTATTACTTGTGCTTACCACAGGCATGTTGAAGCCTACCTTGCTACCACGTATCCACCTGCAGATGTTGAGCAAGCAGTCGCTAGTGGATTACTTGGCTCTCCTCTGCTTGGCACGTCCACTCGTGTTACTGCAGATTGGTGCCATGCGTGGAGTTTGTTAGGCCAGTGGTCTGGATTAGTCACTTTTCCTGTCCCAGCCTCTGGAGTCTGGCCGCGCCATGGTCATTTACGGAAGATCCTTGATGGCTACCAAGGCAGACAACCAAACTTCCATAAATGGGCTCGGCCTGCCTACGAGCAAGGTGCCCTTCCGACCCTTAGCCTGCTGCCAGGTGAGGTCAGTGTACGAGTGCTACCAGGAGACAAGATGTACCAGGCCATGGAAATCGAGCCACATTACATGCGGCCTGTTATTCTGCATGGGTTTGGCACCAATGCCAAGAAAAGAATGCCTAGCAGTGTCGCTGACCTTGCCCAATTTGGCTGGTTGCCGTTGGCTGCAGCGTTATTTGGCACACAAGAATGGAAGCCTCAATGGCTACATCACAATTTCCTTCCAGTGGTTGGTCTGCGACTGCATGCCAAAGTGCCTCCTCCTCCACTCTCCCAAGCTCAACTAATTTTGCTGTGTGGACTGTGGCAACGAAAGGAACAACCGGAACCCTCATGTACATCGCTGCAGCAAGCAGCTCCCCTGAAGTTTGGTCTTCCGTTACCTTTCAGAGAGATGGCTAAGTGGGACGTCACTGTCAATGAGCAGGCCATAGATGTTGGAGAATTGTCCAAACAAAACTACATTGGAAGAACACCTGCTGCTGCGCTGCCCGTAGCACTCAAGGGCTCTGACGAGTGGGCATCCTGGGTCTTTTCCCTCTCAGAAGTCTGGCAAGATGACGCCCCAATGCAAGACCGACCCCTTGAAGTGCACTGCAGTGGATTAGGAGGTGGCTTACTCAGTGGCGAACACGACTATGATATTTTCCTACAAAATCATGCACAACAAAGGTGTATGGACCATCGCTTGCTATGACAGATAATTGGGAAGCACATGTCACCCAATTGGGCCTCACCAAAACAGTGCATGAATATGCGGTATACCAGCTACTCTCCACTGCAGAAGGATGGACAGCTTGGCGAGATTTCCTCCCTGAACATTTCTCCGATCACCAACTGCTGCTCACGAGAGCGATTCGTCTCATTGAGGCCGCGAATATCCGGCCAGCCCATGCCAGGCCACCACACCCGACCTGGTCAACAGCAATTAGGCAGATCTTTCGTTGTTACCATCCGCAAGGTAAACATCTTTTTCTGAAGTCATGTTTTCCTCACTTAATCACTACAGCGGATACAGGAGGTGTCAGGGACATCAACGTTTATGGGTTCTCGGCAGGGTCCTACACGGGCCTTGCAGTTCACGAGATCCTGAGTGAATTCGCTGCATTCCCAGGCCTCACTAAAGTTGCTGCGATTGCGACGCCGCCAGAGATGATGCGACTTGCCACTGGCCAACGCAGAGTCACTCTTGTGCACTGCCTGGAAGACCGGCTATGTGTGTGGAAACCTGACTCTCTGACAGAATTCAATTATCAGGTTGTTCTTATAGAAGGGCACCCCACATGGAGTGGGCGTGCCAAACACTCATATGGCCATTTGCTCTTCATTGACCTTGATGAAGGGGTCCACGAAGTTCAAAGATTACAAATCACCACCCCTCAAGTCATTCCGGTAGCAGTTAGACTTGTCTAATAGCTGTTTATAAACTTGACCTTGCAGCCTTCTTTAGAAGGCGTCCCGAAAAAAAAAATGCCTCGTCAATTTCAGATGTTAACCTCGGTGACAATGATGTTACCTGAAACTGAATGCATGTTCCGTTTAAAACAGTTTGACACCTTGAATATATATATATATATATTCACACTACATGCCATGCACGCATATGTACTATGTATATTCCATGAATCATGCCCACTGGAACTTTCACTCTCATAATGGGTTATGAATTTAAATCGTGTGGCATTTTACAACTCAAGATGCAGGGTTGGGTAGGGAGGGTCACCTTATGCACAGGTGAATTTTTCATGGGAGGACCTGCCATTACAAAAGGGAGGGTGGCATTCAACAATCCTATTTGCCTGGGTTTTTCATCGCCGTCATCTCTTGACAATTTTTGCCGGAGCCTGTGTGGCTTCCTCGGTGGCCTGGGTGCTGCTGCCATCTTAATTTTGGCTTGGATCCTTTCACATTGAGTGCATTTACAGTGTGTGCATGCTACAGTTGCCAGTGGATTTGCAACGATTCACACAGCGGCTTCAACTCAGTGGTAAGTTTGTGCGTGACATTTGGATCAGCTTCGAGGTGTCTATTTTGATTGCTGCATATCTTGACAGTTTTTCACAGACACGGCTGTTCATTTCGTGCCTGGTGATTCAGGTTGATCGCACTGACGTGGCCTTGGGAGCGACGTCCATTAGGTTGCAGTGCCATTCTCAGCCTTGGGCTGTTCCTACACCGCCATTGCAGTCATTTTCAGTGACATCCTCTTCATCAGATTCTGTGCCTCCTGATTTTGTTTTTTTCGATGGACCTGAAGCGTAAGAGGGATGGGTTTACTGATGAGTTTGCAGATACCACTCAGTTTTGCATGCATGCACGTCACTGTTGGATTTCAAACAATGTCAGCACTGCCAAAATGCCTTGGGATTTCCGTTTAATGGACAACTTGGACATAGCGCAAAGATCTCAAAAGAACCTTTTTCGAACGTTGGGAGCTATGCCACCGCTTCCTGCTGCAGAAGGGTCAATTGAGGGTTTGCCGGACAAGTTGGGCAGGCCTGGACTGGATGATCCTAACTTCAGTACAAAAGCCTTGCAAAATGCACAGAAACGTTCATGGCAAGATCAACTGAACTATGAACGGAAATGCGCCTACAGAAAGTGGATCAGTATTGTTTCTTCCAACCCTATGGCATTTGAGGTGGCGAGGCAACAGATATTGTCTGGCCCGATGGAGTTTGCCAAAGGAGGGTTGGCTGAATCGATAGGTGACGCGTTGGGAAACAAGTCATCAAGTACCCTTCATTCGAGGGCTGGCCCGTTGCTGAGATTTTTGAAATTTTGTGCTGACAGAGACTTGAGGGCTTTTCCATTGGAAGAGTACAGGGTCTACGACTATGTCAAGTCGGTTGCTGACACTGCCCCGAGTTATCCCAGGTCTTTCATGCTGTCCATTAGTTTTGCCACACATGTTTTGGGCTTGCTTGGAGGCCTCGAGGTTTGCAGTTCGAAGAGGATTGATGGGGCAGTCAAGTTGCACTATGAGAAGCGTGCAAAGGTGCGACAACGGCCTCCTCTGACTGCCGATCAGGTCAGAACCTTGGAAAGGGTTGTCACCAGCTCCAACAAGAGCGTTTACGACCGGGTCATGGCTGGTTACTTTCTCATGTTGCTGTATGGAAGACTGAGATTTTCTGATGGCCAACGTATCACTGGGATGCGCTTGGAATTGGTGCACGTTGATTCAAAGCCTGTCGGGTTTTTGGAATGTGCTGCTGAGCGTACGAAGACCAGCATCAGCTTAGAGCGTAAGGTTAGGTACCTTCCGATTGCCGTTCCTGTCCAGTGCTTGACCGAGCCTGCATGGCTTCCTGTGTGGGATAAGTTGCGGGCTGAGCAAGGTTTGATGGCCTCTGGGAAATCTGGTGGAAATTTCCCTGTTATGCCTTCCCCAGCAGTTGGTGGTGGTTGGTCCCAAGCTCAGCTGAATGTGACACCAGCAGGTGAGTGGTTGCGGAATCTCTTGAAGAATACCGAGACTGTCGGTGACATCAGGGTTGCAACTCACAGTTGCAAAGCAACCCTTCTAGCATGGAGCGCCCGTGCCGGTTTTGACCATGACGTCAGAAGACTGCTTGGGTATCATAGCGGATCAGCTGATCAGTCCATGCTGGTGTATTCACGTGATGCTATGTCCCATCCACTCAGGCTTCTTGTCGACCTCATAGGCAAGGTGGCTGGTGGCAGCTTTGACCCCGACCTCACGAGGTCAGGCATGTTTGCCCGTGAGGCAGGCGCTTCACAAGATGCTGGGGATGATATCGATTCATCAAGCTGCGGTTCAGAGGACGAGGATGACAGAGATGTTTATGAAGAAGAACAAGCGATCGAACAGGTCGCTGGTGCTTGGCAACCAAAACAGGTTGAGCCCGACAGCTTGCAGGTATATGTTCGCCATGCCACTTCACGTTGTCTGCACAAGATCATGGACGAAGCTGGGACCCACCTAGCTTGTGGCAGGGCGATGTCTTCCCGGTATGAAGTGCAAGGAGAGCGACCGAAGTTCCTCCACCCGTTGTGTGGCACCTGCTTCAAAGACCACCACGTATGAGCAAAAGGACGCATGATGGGGGTGCCGCGCATGGATGCCTTGTTCATATCGAAGTTTTAATAGGCAATAGGTGACAGGTAGACGTGTGCAATTTCAATTGTGCGAAGTGTTTTCATGGTCGCGTGTTCTCATGTTGGTTGGTGCCAATTGCAGGCGCACGTGTGTCAGACGTCACATGCAGACATGTCATCGAAGTGAAATTTGAACCAAATTCTTGACATAGGTCGTGACCCAAATCAAAATTTTGTGATGCTTCACGGTCTGGCACTGATGCAAAGTGTTATGACTTGATGCCATATATGCAGCTGTGGCTCTAGCACTTGTCGCGACCATGTCATACAGCGACAGCACTGCAGTATTCAAAAAGAGGTTTTTGGAAGTTGGGCTTACTGAAGCCAATTATGAGGCCTTCAATGCAGAAGGACTCAACACCATGGGCACTTTTGCTTTTGCTTGCAATTATGCTCCGGGGTCGGCGGATGAACGCCCTTTGACAACCCTGGCGACCAATATCCTTGGTGCTTCCCCTTCGACCAAGGAGATGGCATGCATTAGACGTCTTTTCAGTGAGGCATACTCCACCATTGCTGCAGATATCCGTTCCAAGGTCGAAGCCTCAGATGAAGCTGCGGTGAAAAAGCTTGCACCAGCTGAGCGCTCTCAAAGGTTGTACGAACAGCAACAAAGGCTTTCTGGATTGGACATCAGAGGCAATTTCGAGCCTGGAGACTCCTTGATAGACAGATGCGTGAGTGCCTACGAGGCAGACAGAATTTCATATGTGACTTGGGATGTTTGTGTGTCACGTGACCATGAAATTGTGACGGGATCAAAGAAGGATAGTGGCTTGACGTTTGATGCTTCAGGACATCTCAAGTTGACCAAAAAGGACCAGATCGAACCGTGCAACACTTCAAATGAAATGGCTGTCAGGTATTGCCTCATCAGGCGCGGACTTGCGCTTGACCAGGCCAACATCATGTGCTACAAGAAGCATGAGCGCCTTGCAGAGAAGTTGATTAATGCTCGCATGGAAGAGGCCCCTTCTGGTTGTGCGCGTTTGACACTGAAGCAGGTCGAGTTGGCTGACAAAAAGTTTTGGACGTTGTTGGCAGAAAAGACCAGAGAGGGCATAAAGGCAGGTTCAGCTGGACGACCTTGTGATGTTCATTTTGATGCATGTTTTGACAGTCCAGAGTTTTTGAACCTGCTCCAACATCGACTTGCTCCGGCAGCTTCTTCTCATTCTCCCACGAAGCCGAAGGGCGATGAGCCTAGGCCTAAGAAACCAAGGCCTGACCCAGCTTCCCAGAAGGGTGGCTCCAAAGGCACCTTCATGCGGGTGCCCAGTGATTGTTGTCCTTGGGATGTGTTGCCTCCACATCCAAGGGACATAGGCTTTGTTTCGATTACAATCTCAAGCGATGCAAGCAGACTGTGAAAGACCAGAGATGCCCAAAGGGTCTTCACCTATGTGCTGTGAAAGGTTACCAGAAGATGCATATGGCCATGGACTGCCCGAATAAGACGGCAGTTGCTCGGGAATGACTATCTCCCGAGGATTTTTCTCAATGCAATGTTGATGATGCCTTGTCTCCGCCTTCAGCTCATGCGCGGCTGCAGTCGGGGGAACAGCCTTCTAAGAAGGCCAGGCCATCTGAATCTCACGTTGATGCACGACGAAAGAAAAATGTACCTTCTCAAGTTTTTGCGGACATGGATGCCTCCCCAAAAGGGGTTCACAGTTTTTCTCCAATGGAAAAGCAGATGATTTTCATCGAGTTGTGCGCTGGCAGCGCTGTTCTCAGTGCAGCAGCTCAGAAGCATGGCTACCGTGTGATGCCGGTGGATTTCAAAAGAAACAGACACCGACCCAGATGCAAAATAGTGTCGCTAGATTTGTCGGAAGACCATGCTTGGGATGTTTTGCAATATGTCATTGAAACATGCGATGTTGTGGCAGTGCATTTAGCACCGCCATGTGGCACATGCAGCAAGGCCAGGGGAATCCCAATGCCGGACGGATCCCCTGGCCACAGCCGGTTCGGAGCCAAGAATTTCCCTTAGGCCTCTCCGACATCTCTGAACTGGACAAGTTGAAAGTTGATGCTGCAAATCGTTTGTATGAAAGAATGGGAAAATTTGTGAAATTTTTGGATGAAAGAGGAATTGCTTGGGTGATTGAAAACCCAACCAACAGTTTGTTGTGGGAGCTGGAATTCTTCAAATATGCAGTTGAACATGGGACGTTTGCACACTGTCATGCTTGCGCTTTCGGGGGTGCCAGACCCAAGAAGACTTCTTTTCTTAGCAATAAGAGCCGTATTTCCATGATGCAACGGTTTTGCGAAGATGTCGAACCGCATGTGCATGAACCTTGGGGTTATAATCCTGAACAGGGCTTTGCAACGGCAATGGAGGCCCAATATCCCAATGGCATGTGCGAGCAACTTGTACGTGTTTTTGATGAAATTTGTTTGGAAAAAGGAATCAGAGTGCAGCCTGCTGACTGCAAACCCCCGCGTGTCGACAAGCAACCACGTGGCAGGGCCACCCCACAGCTGATTCCGGAATATGAGAAAGTTTGCAGCCTTTTATTGGATGCCTTGCCTTCGACAGATGCAAAGCGTTGTTTGTGCGACCCTTGCAAGCATGTTCCAGCAGGTAGCCGCCTGCTGCGTACCGAGAAGAAGGGAGATAAGCTCTTGTGTGTTTTTGGAATTTTTCACTCATGCGAAACCTTTGTAGCCTTGGCCAAGACGTTGTGGCACCCCTTTGACACAGCTGCACATATGCCTGACCATTTGCTGAAATGTTTTCATGAGCATCTCACCATGTCACCAGTGGAGATTGTGCGATTGCGCATACAGAGACTTAAGCTTTGTACTACTTGGGCAACGGAACTTGCAATAGTGGAAAAGGAGTACAAGCAGAAGTGCGACCCCAAGGTCAAAGCTGTGCTTGGTGCCAAGCGTTTGCTTCTAATGGAAAGAGTTGCAAAAAGTATCAACTGGCCAGACACCACACTGTTTCAGGAGATGGCCCAAGGTTTTCGTTTGGTGGGACAGGCAACGAAATCAAATGTTTTTCAGCCTGGTATCAAAGCGGCTTCAATGAGCGAAGAGCAACTGATGAAGGATGCTAAGTTTTTGAAGCCAGCGCTGCTTGGAAAGATACGTGCTAGCCGTGGAGATGCCCATAGCAAGGAACTCTACGAGCTCACTGAAAGCGAAGCCCTTGATAAAGGTTGGCTGTCTGGCCCTTACACTGCGCTTGAGATGGACGAGCGTTTTTCTGGGCGATGGCTTCCTGTCAGGCGTTTCGCAGTCATCCAAAAGGAAAAGTTGAGGCCCATTGACGACTTGAAGGAAAACCGAGTGAATGAGACTTTCTCGTCAACGGAAAGGGCTTCATTGTACGCTCTGGACCACTTGGTTTGGATTTCCATTTTTCTTGCAAGACTGTATACAGTCGGCGGCGAGTTCAACTTTGAATTGGAAGATGGGACGCAATTGTCTGGGTTCGTCCACAAGGACTGGATAGAAGCTGGCGTTGATTTGAAGGTCACAGCCATGGACTTGAAATCAGCGTACAAACAACTTCCCCTCAGTCCATTGGATTCAGACAAAGCTGTCATATCCTTGTGGAGCGATCAGCACCAAGATGTACGCTGCTTCGAATGTGCTACGCTCCCATTTGGAGCTTCAGCAAGCGTTCACAATTTTCTGAGGGTGAGTGCGTTCCTGCAGGCCGCAGGGTGTGCCTTAGGGCTCTTGTGGACCAGTTACTTTGACGATTTCCCTATGGTATCCCATGCAATGCATACCACCTCCACGTTGGCTTGTGCCAAGGGTCTCATGTCTCTTTTTGGTTTCGTTTACTCGGAAGAGAAGCTGGCTCCTTTTGATTACACTGCCGAAATCCTTGGAGTCGTTGTTGACTTGAGCAAAGCGTCGCAGAGAAAGATTTCAATTTCCAACAAACCTTCCAGGGTGGAGGAGTTGAACCTTGCTTTGAAGGATATCCTTAAGTCTGGCGTGGTGGTGCCTAACCAGCTACCTTCTGTCTTGGGAAAACTTCAATATGCGGACTCTCACGTGTGGGGGCGAGCTGGCAAGTTGGCCTTGGCTGACTTGAGAGAGCTTGGGCATACTGCACCTACAGCCGTGCGTTTGGGTGACACTCAAATTAAGGCATTCGAGATTCTTCAAGAAAGGTTGTGCGGAGGAAAACCGAAAGCTTTCATCGCTGATGACATGGAGAAACCTGTACTGCTTTTCACAGATGGTGCCCTTGAGTACGACACTGGAGAACCTCATGCAACGATAGGTGCAGTCTGTATTTTTCCTGATGGGAGCTCTGAAGTTTTCGGCAGCGAAGTTCCGAAGACAGTTTTGGACATTTGGAGACAGGGTGGGAAGTCCCACGTTATTGGACTGGTTGAACTTTATGCTTGCGTGGTGGCCTTGCGTCATTGGAAGAAAAGGGTATCTTCCAGGAGGGTCATCATGTTTGTGGATAACTGGCCTGCTTTGGACGTGTTAGTCAAAGGGACGTCATTGCAGGAAGACCGGCGCAAGCTCTTGCTTTTGTTGGAAGACCCGGCCGAAGACACTTTTCTTCTTTGGGTGGCGAGAGTTCCGTCGAGTTCCAATGTCGCGGATTTTCCGAGCAGAGGTTCTGTTTCAGAGTTGGCCTTCCTGAGGCCTTTTACTTGCGTGACCCCGATATGCCCCATGTTAGGCAGTGCTCTGTTTGATACTTTGGCTGAAGCAGACTTGGGTGAGAGTTCTTTGTGAAAGATATGCCGGGATATGCAATCCCATCTTTCGTTTGTCAAATGCGATGAAACAACAAATGATGCAATGCGATGTGGAAATCAATTTACGATTTCATTGGAGATCACCCTTGTCCGCCAACGAGAAGAAAACAGAGTTTGCCCGAGCTGTCGATTGTCATGCTTTTCCGACTGCACTTTTCAAGTTTGTTGGTTTTGTTTAAGTTTGAGATGGTGTATGTTGTTCTCCCCCCATGCGTAGGATGTGAGAGCGTATGTGATGATGTATGAACTATATATATATGCGGGGTATGCGCGAGTTACATATATGTCTGTTGCGACGGGTGTTTATATATGTACTTGCTTTGCATATATGTTATGTGATGTACTGTAGGGACAAGGTCGTTTATAAGGTAGCAGTTAGACTTGTCTAATAGCTGTTTATAAACTTGACCTTGCAGCCTTCTTTAGAAGGCGTCCCGAAAAAAAAATGCCTCGTCAATTTCAGATGTTAACCTCGGTGACAATGATGTTACCTGAAACTGAATGCATGTTCCGTTTAAAACAGTTTGACACCTTGAATATATATATATATTCACACTACATGCCATGCACGCATATGTACTATGTATATTCCATGAATCATGCCCACTGGAACTTTCACTCTCATAATGGGTTATGAATTTAAATCGTGTGGCATTTTACAACTCAAGATGCAGGGTTGGGTAGGGAGGGTCACCTTATGCACAGGTGAATTTTTCATGCCCACCCTTTGTACTTTGTACCCGCCCTCATATGTACTTTCCATACACACCTTAACCCATGGGTGAGAGTTCTTTGTGAAAGATATTCCGGGATATGCAATCCCATCTTTCGTTTGTCAAATGCGATGAAACAACAAATGATGCAATGCGATGTGGAAATCAATTTACGATTTCATTGGAGATCACCCTTGTCCGCCAACGAGAAGAAAACAGAGTTTGCCCGAGCTGTCGATTGTCATGCTTTTCCGACTGCACTTTTCAAGTTTGTTGGTTTTGTTTAAGTTTGAGATGGTGTATGTTGTTCTCCCCCCATGCGTAGGATGTGAGAGCGTATGTGATGATGTATGAACTATATACATATGCGGGGTATGCGCGAGTTACATATATGTCTGTTGCGACGGGTGTTTATATATGTACTTGCTTTGTATATATGTTATGTGATGTACTGTAGGGACAAGGTCGTTTATAAACACGGGGTACGGTGCGAGGGATTGCTGCGAGTACTCTCATGGGTCAGCTTTGACCTTCCTGAGCACCTCAAGACGACTCTAAGCACTCTGTTAGTAGCAGCTGGAGAGGGGAACACTGAGCTACAAACAGTACCCATTGTCGGTCGGGACATTCGGGATGGTCAGCCTGATACGGAAGCTGAACTACAAGCAGCTCTGATTGCGATGATTCCCACACCGGGAGGATCCCACGATGAGGGAGGGTTGCTGGTTCGCAACTTACTGGCGGAATTCCTGCGTGGTTTTTCATTAAGAACCCTCATCTTCCTCTTGGACATGGTGCTTCCGCAACTAGACGCCTATCATGCGGGACGGCAGCTCCAACACCTTCAGCCCTGGGTCAGTGTAGAACTAGCTCAGCAGAAGAAGCGAGGACAAACTGGAACACGGTTGCAGGTCACCTACCAATATGAGGCGTATGCTGGTTTTCATGTCATTCACCTACATACTGACGGTGCCCCTCTCCTACTCTTTAGTGCACCTTCGGATGTTCCAAAGACCTCGCCGCGGGATCTGTGAAGCTGGGAATCTAGGCAACCTGGAAGCCAACGTGATGGCGGGCAGAGCGCTCCTTGGGGTACTACAGTTGCCAGACACTCAGCAGCGGTGTGTTATACTACTGGTACATGAAAAGGTGATGCCCAGCGGAACCAGCAAGAACCCTGCTCAGCGAGCAATCAAACGCATTGCCCCGAAGTTGCTAGAGCTTGTAATCGTCTCGCTACCCATAGCTCGGACGTTTTGTGGGCGACTTTTGGACCAGTATCTCAAAACAATGAGTTATTTTGATCCTGCACAGGACTGGCCGAAACCCATCGAAGAACACGTGTCTATGGCCGTAGTGTGGGAAGAGCTAGCCTTCCTGGGTGACACACGCAGCCGCCATGAACTCTTAGTGTTTGCACAAGCTAACCAGTCGCGCCTACCATTGACCATGGGCATCGTACAGCCGCATATACCTGTTCGCCGCATGGCCAGCGAGCGCAAAACGCAGCTGACTGATGCACTAGTCAGAATCTTGAGCCGGTTCCTGACACCAGCCACGATCTCGACGGAGGGGGCCCATGACAGGTATTACCGTGAGTACCTCCTTCCTCTAGCAGCCCACGGTGATGGACATGTCTTAACGGTCTCAATTGCACTGTTGCTGGCTATTCTGACAGGTAGATCTGACTTATGTATTGCAGGGGTCTTTGGTGCTGGCAAAACGCGGTCCCTTGCGGTCTTGCTCATTGCCCTGAGCTGTGAACTCAAGGACTTTGTTGCGATCGTCTATACGAAAGAAAATGTAGCTGCCAAAGCACTTGCAGATCAATTAAGTGATCTCGCGCCCCCCACAATCAGGAGCTTCGGTAGGCTAATTGGTTGCATGGAGGAAGGTAAAGGAGAAGCATATGCCTCCAAAATTGACGTCCGGTGCAGTGACCGTAACAGAATCATCGCGCACAAGAATGTGCTCATTGCAACAGGTGGCTCAGCCACGGCTGAAATGGCGATGCGCTATTCCACTTTTGGCCATTGGATTTCTCGCACCTGGCTAGCTTTCATGGACGAAAGCCAACAGTATGGCAACTACCATGAGATCGCAGCTCTCGCTGCCATTCAACAACCAACTCTCACTGTCTTCATTGGAGATCACAGGCAAACTCCAGGAGGGCTGTCAAAAGGCCGAGCAGCGGCTGTCAATCGACGCAAACTGTTGCAACGGCCGTTAGGGCTCAGAGCGCTTGATAAGCCAGGAGACTATCTTCCACCGGCACGAATGGCAGCACTTGTCGCTCAGCTTTGGCCTGATGCGAGCCAAGATCCGGAGTCAGATCTCTTCAGTCTGCTGAGACTTGCAAACAAGCCGCATAGTGGCCCATGGACATCCACTCCGCAAGACTACGAGCTGCCTGTCGCACTAGGGCGGGTGTTTCACTGCCGAATCTCGTGCCAGCTGGATGCACACAGCAGCCTAATTGCAGCAGCTCTAGCAGTCCTGTTGATTGCCACAGCACCAGAGGAGTTTGGAGTACCTGAGTGTACCACAACCCTTGAAGCAGCCGGGCTATATGGTCCTCACCGGTGGGGTATCATTCTCCCTAACAGCTCACGGGTCTCAATGCTGACCTACCAAGCTATCGTGGCAGTTCGATATCCTGAGTTAGTCCTCCACGAGCCCAATCACATCTACATTGGACACTTCGTGCCACATGAGTCCACTGTGGCACAAGGAGGTTTCCGGACAGTACTGTGGAATGCACCTAAAGATCTAAGAGCTGCTGTCGAGGACGTCGTTGCCTTCTGCACCTATCTGAAGAATTATTATCGCAACTTGCAACAGGGAGCGACTTCGCAGCTGCTTGTCTTATGCAACCGTACGGCGGTACACAACTTGCTACTCCAACATGGCTTTCAGTCTATGTGGTATGGTGGGCTGAGAGTTTCCACCACTTCTTCTGCCGCGGGGGCAACAGCACGCATTGCGGTCATTGTTCAAACAGGCGTTGGGTTTCTAAGTGGAGGACGCAGGGATGCAACAGCAGACGAGCGTGAAGACTGCTATGGGAGAGCAACTGTAGCGCTCACAAGAGCCATTGAACATACCTATCTTGTCTCGCCTCTTGATATGGCAGGCATGATTGGCATGGCTCAGACACTAGGAGTGTACCATTATGGATACTTCACACTGAAAGACCGAGACATTCAGTACCATGGCCCTACAACCTACCCCAGCGACAAAATTGCCATACTGGATTGGGGATTAGGGGCACCTTTTATTCCCCAAGACAAACCCCCTCTTGCTATTGCCATGATAGTGACCATCAATGGCACGCGAGCGTGGCGACGATATCGGTTGGTTGTGGCATGCAGAGACAAGCTACGTCTTCCCCCTGATGTCCTTGCAGCGCTAGAGTCTCGCACACGTGACCATGTGCTGACGACCAGCGGTTTTTTCCCCTGCTCGATTGATCGTGAATACTTGTATGGTTATGCTGCTGATGGTTACAGATCTCCTCTCTGGCTATGTGCAGCCTATAATGGGTCCCCAGCACTTGTTCATCGACATCGAGGCCACAAGGTCTTCTTTCACGTGGGTATACAGGATCGGCAACTCGTCGTAATACCGGGTATTCATTATTTCGATGCCCATCGGTTGCAACCGGACCTCTTGGACACATTGGATCGCCAGATTGATCCAGGGTCTATGAAACTCGCAAGCCCCGAAGGTGCAGGAGACACAGTGAATGACCCCTCCTCGGATGAGGAAGCAGCCTCTACCGATGACGAGAGTGATCCAGAAGACCCTACAGTTGCATGGTGCCCACCCATACCTGATGCAGCTGAAGATCCCTCTGAAGATGAGATCGCGAGTGCAGCTGACCAGCTAGCAATCCTGATTTCGAATGTTCAACCCAACGGAAACCCTTTCTGCATACCCGAAAACCTTGGAGTTCTCCCACCGTTATGGCTACAGGCGAGATTGACGTTGTCTTTGACTGCCATCCAAGA